ATTATTATTATTATTATTATTATTATTATTATTATTATTATTATTATCTGAGATTAATCTGCAGTTTGTTTATTAAAGAAAAGAAGAGCAGAGTATTGCCGAAAGTTTCTAAAAACTTTGACCAACTGAGGACCCAGTGCTTCCATATTCATATTTGGGTCTGCTCTTCCTTACTGAGGTCCTCACAAGTTCTAGTAATTTAAACACTGATTTCAAAGGAGGTTAGCCTTATAGCCTGTGTTATCTGAGCTTTGAGGCCTCCTTGTCTGCGGGGAGAGGACCATGCGAGAGGATCTTCATGGTTTTGATGAGTATAAGTTATGGGACTCCAAAGCAATGCATGTGGCTCTACTGCAGTAGACTGAAACTGCTGAAATTGCAGCTGTATTGTGTGAAATGCAGTAAGTGTTCAGAGTAAGTGCTGTTACAGGATGTTAGGCCTCACCTTTTAGTGCAGGATGAGCTGAGAAAAAGCCCAGATCAGAGGAAAGGGCTGGATCTTTGGCTTTTAAATGTACTATCATCTTCTCACAGGCCACTTCTCCTTGATTCTTTACATAATCTATGAAATCACGTGCTTTGTTACTTCTAACTGGGCTCTCCACAAAGTCACACCTGATCCTTTCAACCTCGCTCACTGTGGGTAGAAACAAACACATTTCTCTCTTAAAGTACTCAGTGCATGCTCAAGATGCATTTAGTAAAGACAGGCCTACCTTTGAAGACGTACTTTAGCAGAACTGAGTAGTAAAGGCATGAACACCATATTTTTAAAGAAGCTGTGAGCCCAAAAGTACAAAACCAGTTAATTCTCTGGTCAATAACCGAATCTGTGAGAACAGGTGAGTACTGGAGATGGAGCAGTAACCCGAAAGTCTCTATTTCCAGCTCAGCTCCTTAAGAACCGGAAACCTTCTCACTAACAAGGGGTTTCCTGTCCAAATTTCCTATTTTCATTCATTTTCTTTTGTTTCTTGTGTAGCTTTCCTATGGAGCCAATTGGTGATTTTACATTTACTGTTTTTGGTTACTGTGTTCTGTCTTCTTGACGTTGTTTTGATTGACTGTCCAAAAGTAACAGAAGATAAAACTTCCATGTGACTCAACCATAAAAATACTTTATAGTTAAAACATGTTTATTCCTCTTCTTGACCAATATGAGCAATATTTTTGTTATTCAATTTGAGGGTCACAGATATGCCCTGACTCTTGTTTTTATGCCAAACATATGCAGATTTTCAATTGACAAAGAATACAGTTTAATAAAGTAAGGTCACACACATATTAACCCAAAGAAGTATATTTTGAAATTGTTATTGAATGGATGACTTGTGTATATATTTTTAACTGAATGGTATATCCTCACACACAGTGATGCTACAGCCACACAGAAACAATCTGCTGTGATTGGTCAGCTGGGCTTCATGACTCCTGCTACAGGTGATGTATCAGAACAGAGCTGGTAAACAGTCATCATTCATCCTGTTGAATGGTTAACCTGATCTGCTAGACGCTGAAGCTTTACCTGCTGAAGGGGCTGGACATTCTGAACTTGCTGAAAGGGTTGGGGGGGCATTCTGTTGGAGCTTGCGAAGGGTTTTCCTCATCATCCTCTTTGCTCTAAAACATTGAGAATCAGGTTCATGCAGGAGTCATATTGCATAACTTACCACTTATTAACTCATTCATATGTGTCCTGAAGGAATGGACGTGTTCACAGGACAGGAGTAGTTGTGCCCACTGAACAACAAATATACTCTCAGTTGGGCTGCAGCTTCATCAGAGCACATTTAGTTGGCTTGTGTTGCTGGGAGGTTTGGAGTGACCTCCCTCCTGTTTTACTACAGGAGACTCATTTACACAGCAGCTGATGTTCTGTCCACACCCCAATCCCCCCATGTGCTTCCAACTGGTTCCAACTTCAGATAGAAAGATGAAGCAATTTTGATGAATAGGAAAGTTGTTCCACAATGAATAGTATCACTGCAGAACCATAATGCAAATTTATATATTTTCTATCGGACACTTTTTCTCACCAGTACACCAATTGCACTCGAGATTAGATTATTTTCGAGTTAACCCTCTTTACTGAGGGATATCTCAGAAAGCAGAATCTACCCCATCACTGTCAGTGGTCATGAATCTCTTTGATGAAAAAGAAAGTCAAATAAACTTCTTGGAAATGTAATGTATCATTGCTTTAAATCCCCAAGTTCTTTCATTCCTTCAAAAAGGAGAGGTCTGTGTTCTTAGTAATAACGATCTCTGCATTTTAAATCAGCCAACATCATCTGGGAAGCTGGATGTGATGTAATGTCAGGCAACATAATCTCCATCCATCCATCCATTATCAATACCGCTTATTCCCTCATGGGGTCGCGGGGGGAACTGGAGCCTATCCCAGTGGTCAACGGGCGAGAGGCAGGGTACACCCTGGACAGTCCGCCAGTCCATCGCAGGGCCCATAATCTCTTTTTCTTCAAATAAAAACAACAGAGAGACTTCACAAATATTGCAATTTAGAATTAAGCAGTAATGAGATGCCTATGGTGTTTACCAAGAGGGAAAGATACTAAACGAAATTAGGAAAGCTAAAGTGGATCTGAAATAAATAATAGACAAGAAAACACAGTTTATTGTGCCAGTCTTACTGATTGTGTTTTGTCAACGGATTTTGTTCAAACAACATGTGGATTGCTCTAAATGACATAAGTGACCACTTTCCTATTTGCATCGTACAAAGTCCTAAGTGTTCCCCAGAATAGAGAACATTTATTTATGTTAAGATGGTTAAAACACCAGGAAGACTAGAATCTTTAAAGAAAGAAGTCAAACTGTGTAATTGGGAGACTATTTATGTGGAAGATCCAAATCAGGCTTATGAGGCTTTTCTAACACATTTTTCAAAAGAATACAATAAGTACTGTCCTATTAAAAAGTATCAAGAATAAATTAAAGACTAAAGAAGAAGGTAAAGACTAAAGAACTATCTTGATTACTAAAGGCATCCAGAAGTCATGCCAAAAGAAAAGATACCTTATGAACAATTTTTGTGACAAAGGACCAAACACACATACAGATCATTGAGAAATAAACGGAACTGACACCTATCCACAATAAACTACAAAAAAAATTCTACTCTGAAAGATAGACGCCAGTAGAAATATACTAAATGTTGGAGAGTAATGGATCATATTATTAGAAATAAATGCACTGCTCCCACGTTCTCCGCGCACATAATATCTATGCAGTGCACACAATATGATTAAACCTGAACTGTAAAGAAGCACTATAAAGAAGAAGAAGAAGATGCACACATTCCCCCTGAACAAGGCGTAAACAGCTGCTGAAACAGTGTTCTGAAGATAATGCTCCTCCTACAGATCCTAGCTGTCTGTACAGCCACAACAACAGAACAGAGTATGTGCAAACAGCTGATGCTGGCTGATAGATGAGGGCACAACTGTCAGCTGTTTGTCCAAAAACCTTCCTCTTTTTGTCTCCAGCAGCGTCTGAACAAGCACAAAGGCATTAAACAGGTGGGATGAGTCTGTAACTCTGACCTTCCCCTATAAAGGCCAGCAGGCTTCACATATTCCAAACAAATATCCACTTCCAACTACTGCCAGCTGACCCCACTAACTAACACATGAACACATTTCATGATATTTTCAGGCTCTCTGCCTGCTTCATATTCTAGCTGTGTCCTCCCTGTTCCCTCTTTTCTTCACTGACATGTTTCCATGCTAGACCAGTGAAGTTTCTGATCAGCTGTTTCCAGCTGAAGCAGCAACACAGATACACACAAAGCTAAAACATGAAAGAGACTCACAGAAGAATCCTGCTTTTCCTCAAAGATCGAGGAGCTGGGACAGCCGGAAAAAGCCATCCGACTTGATCAGGAAACACTGACTGATTTACAGCCAGCCTGCGTTTAAGACGGCTCTGCTCTGCTCCCCGTTACCTGTAGAACCTGTTGGTTCAGTTGTGTGGAACATTGTCCTGATGCTGAAAAGATAAAATACAGCTTATGCACAACACAAAGATTGATTTATTTATTCAATTTATCAAATATATACAGGGCTTTATAGAAATATATTTCTATTTATTTATTTGTTTTTTATTGCTGCAAAACTAAAAATGGATATAAAGTTCAACAGATGTGTTCTGGAAAGTCAAATCTATTCAGTGCTTTATATCCTTAAGTGGGATTACAGCAGTTTCCACTTGTGCAGCCTCCAAAGAGACATGACACAGCATGACACCTGCTGCAGTGAAAACCAGAGGGTGGAGATTTAAGTGGTTTTAACGAGCATTCACTACATTTAAAGCTACAAACATGAATACTTTTTTGATAAAAAAAACAATTTCAAAGCAAAAACAGAAAATGCATTTTGTTAGAATTGGGCTAATTCTAACAAGCATTGTATCCTATAACGTAATCCATGTAAATTGTCTTATTCCTTAAAGAACTATACTTTTGTGTTAAACTCTTTGGCTATGCCCACAGATTCTCCTTCTCTCTCTGTTATGGTAGATAAATGTCTTCAAGGCCAACATCCACACACACACTTTCTTATCACATTCCAGTGAAATCTGAATGAATTAGGAGCTGGGATGTTCATGTCAGAGCTAATTGGCCAATAAAACTTTGCAGGCCCAGCCGCAAAGATAAATGTCCATCACAGCCAGATTTTGGGGCTCTTGCCGATTGAGATCTTCAGGAGGATTTGTCAATAAGAGCTCAGTTCTGATATACTTTACCTGTGACAGAATACATTTCATATTCTTGATCTGCTCTGGTTTATTTTTAGGCTTCCAACTAAAAATCAGGCGTACAATTTACAGAACAGGACTGATCAGCTAAAGGACAACTAAAACTAGAAAAATTCAAAAGAAATTTTAAAGGGGGACATCCAATTTGCTTTGTTTGCGTGCTTTGTGGTCCTCAAATACACTGAGACTGGAGGAGTACGGAGCGCTATGCATTAGCAAAGCATCCTGGGGCTTGGAGTACTTCAGTTTAGCCTACAAGATTGAGCAGGCAGACCCATTGTGTGCATCACGTCAGTCAGCGACACAGAGCACAAGAAGGCTTTTTCTGTGGGACACTTAAGGTCATTTGGACTTCTCAGTTTGAAATGACACACTGTTGTTTGCCAACAGAGAGTACGTGATGCATACAAGGCTCAGCACAGGCACCAACAAACACATTTAGCCAAACAACCTTTGGTAAGCTGCCAACTACTGAATCCAAAGGATATAAATCTCAGGTAGTAGATTTTGGGCAGAAGTCACGCAAGCTAAGAGACGAACGAGTCTGATTGGCCTGTTCACTGATCTCTCAATGTGTAAAGGAGTGTTTCATTGGGCGTGTCCCTTGTGCAATAGACCTGACTGACAGATTTAGCACAGGTATCGGTGCCTTGTGCCAACAGACCGAGACCACAGAGAAAGAGAAAACAGAGGGCAGAGTATAAGTCTAAAGTGAAATGACTAACAGCCAATTATAACAAACTCAAAATTAGAGGAGATTTGCCAGTGGGGCCGGACTCAGCCTGAATTTGTGGAACAAAACAATAAATCTTTACCTCGTGGTCCATGAAATAAGTGCCATTTTTCCTGTCCTGGCTGTAGTATTGCTTTGACTCTTTCTGGCTGGATGCTTTGGCCTTTGTTCCCAAAGCTTCAGGGCAACTCTCTCAGAGCTTTTCCTGCTCTTTTCTGATTCGTTCCACTTTTCTACTTCAGATTTAATGTTGCTGTCCAGGAACTGCTGGTAGCTGAAGTGGTTTTTTTAATTCATTTATTTTTATTAAATTTTCCACAAGGATACAAAAATGAACATAAAAGATCAAAACCCCACTCATCCCTTACCCGTACAGAACGGCACATCATATAACACTTACACAGTCAAGACAACATGCTGAAAACATCACAAATTGATCCAAACCATTTCCCAAGCACGAGAAAAAAAAGAAAAGAAAAAAAAACAATTATACAGGGTACTAAACAGTAACGGGTTTGTCATATACACTTTTTCATTGAAGGAATTTTAGTACAGGATCCCATATTTTCTTAAACACATTGACCTTGTCTTCGTTATAGTATCGCAGTCTTTCCAGGTGCAGAGTATTTGCTAGTTCTCCCAACCATAAATCAAATGTGGGCACATAGTCCTTTTTCCAAAATCTCAAAATCAGTCTTTGAGCAATCACCGTACCAAACAAACAGCCCCTCTCACTTTTAGTGGCAATCATGTGTTTCTCATATCACCTGCTTCACTCTGGAGCCAGGCCCAGATGTGGGGCATGTTGGCGAGCGATTGGTTGCTGGGCTTTCACCCATGTAGCCCGGCTGGGCCCAGCTTGAAGAGGCCACAGGTTTTCCCCTTCCAATGGGCTCACCACACATGGGAGGGGCCAAAGGGGTCAGGTGTGTTGTGTTTCGGGTGGTGGCCGAAGACGGGGACCTCTCTGGCGGGTATGGAGCCTGAGTTGGTGTTCGAGGCGGAGAGACATAATTGGTTTCGCCTCAACGCACAGCTCTGGCTCTGGAACCAGCCTTCTTGAGCGGGGTTGGATGATCTACTTTGGAGTTACCCCCGGTAGGAGGCTCCGAGCAGAAGTGGCCATACTTGTCGGCCCCCATCTTGGTGCCTGTATATTGGGGTTCATCAACAACAGGGTAGCTGACTTTTGTTGTTGCTTAAGTGCCTAACAACAGTGCAGATTACCTACCCTTTTTGGAGTACTGTAACAGTTCTTAAAACACCACGTTTCTGAAACTTTGCATAATTGCATATATCATTCATGAAAACCAGTAAACACAGGATAAAGCAAGTCTGCCTAGGCAGATAACAAATGAGGCCATAACTCCTAAACTTGCCATACAAAATGAAGTTGCTTGATATCCGTTTGAAATCCTAAACTAAAGTTAATAGGTAAAAAAAAAAAGAATCCAATTTTACAAACGGATTCCAATTCTCATGCTCCACTCCACTGAAAACTGAGGTTAGTTATTATCTGAAAATGTAAAAGTCTCGTGTTTCACTTTAAAGGTTCTTGCATTTTGATACAATTTGTCTCGGGCCACTGAAGGCCATAATCTTTCAGAAATCAGTCCAGTACAATAAAGTACAAGAAGCTCAGTGTCTTTTCTCAAGCAATCTTAAACTGAAAACCCTGTGTGCGACTTTTTAATCATAGGACAAAAGTTCAGTACCACACTCAAATTTGGCATATATTTATAAAAGCAGTAAAAAAATCAAACAGTGGATAAACATTCTTACAGGAACTCTTTCCAGATGAGAAACTGAAAACTTGGAAGATGTTACAGTTTGTACCTATGGATTCTGTTTCTCAAGCCATGTACTTGAGCCAAAGCCTGCTCCGCTTTTATTTTCATCACCACTTTCTGAATAAACTCAAAGGAATACTTCATGGCTTCTGGATACTTGAGATTGACACTGTAGATGACACCCATAAGCATGGCGAAGCAATGTGCCACATCCTTCACAATGTGAAACACAATGGTCTCCTCCACCACAACTGCCATATCGAAGACATCATGTGGAATGGCATCCCCTTTCCCACCTTCACAGCCTATCAGAAGGCCAAGCTGCATCCCTGGCTTCATCCAGAGTCTCAACATGAGCCTTAATGAAAATGAAAATAAGTAAATACCATAAAAGTTACAAAAAGATTAATATCCATCCATCCATTATCGTTACCACTTATTCCCTAATGGGGTCGCAGGGAGAACTGGAGCCTATCCCAATGGTCAATGGGCAAGAGGCGGGGTACACCCTGGACAGTCCGCCAGTCCATCGCAGGGCAAGATGAAAAATATATATAAACTACTCATACAGCTTGCAAGACTGTAATGTCTTACATCACAAATCCCTATTACATCTGATGGATCTTCGCCTGATATGTAGAGTGAGAGAACAAGTAGAGCAGCAGTCCTTTTCCTCTCATTCGTGTCCAACAAGACATGAGATGGCAGAAGACGGTGCAGTAAAATGAAAATGCTTTAGAAAACAATTATGCCAGATTTTTTAGCCATCCCCACGTCCACTTGCATCTCTCACAAGGCAGTCCAGAATGTCTTTGAATGACTGCTTCCTCCCAGACTTTGTTGCTGCTTTGTACATCTGGAGCGGTCTTGGGACCAGGTCATCAAATCCGTCAAAAAATATTTCAGAGCGGGGTCGGGGGGGGAGGCTCTTTGGGCAGTGGGGACTGCTCGGGGGGCCTGGCTCTGTGGCCCCGTGGGCCAGCCCAGCCCCCTGTTTTAAATACCTGTTAGACATGGAGGACCCTGAGTTGTCCTCAACCCACTTACACCATGGGGCCTGGGGGGTGAGGGGGGGGGTCTTCCTGCGCGCCCGCTGCCCGGAGCTGCACAATGCCGGGGGCCTGGGGGGTCCCGCCTGGTCCGGGGCCAGGGGTCCCCGGCCACTGAAATAAACCTGCTGTAAGTAACTATACAGTCCTATTCGTGCTAAAAAAAATTAAAAAGTGTTGTTATGTAGCAGTAATTGACCCTGGGATTGAGATGATTTGTAATGCAGATCAAATATTACCTTCTTATTGAAAAATGTAACTGTACCAAAAAATGACTGTTGTATCCAATTTTCTTAGCATCACAGTGTTAAATGTAGCATGGTGTTTTCGTTTTTACATTTTATTTCAATCTAACTATGCATCATCTATGATTATGAAATTTCACCTGTTCCTATTGCATATCATCATACTTTGCCAAATATGTCCATTCTGTCTTCACCTCAGAGTGTTATATTTTATTTTAAGGCTTTAGTCAATTAGCCCTTTACTTGCTGGATTATTTCATTCATGTAGCTTGCCCCATGCCGCTTGCTATTTGAATGGAAATGTTAAGATACTAGTAGTTTTTTAATTCCCAGATTTATTTTGGTACATTGATTATATTGACTAATAACATTAACCAATAAAATAACCATTTAATAATTGGGGAAATTCTAACAAAATTGATAGATGGAGCGCTCATATTTCATCATTGTTGATCCCTTAAAAATTGTATATAATCTAGTCTCTTATTCTTATGAACCATATATCATGTCTCATCTCACATAGTGTCTTGTCACAGCTACTTGAAACACTTTACGAAATGCAGCTTAGTACAACAATAGCACTCACTAAAACATTATAGTGGATCAGTATTTGGTTAGGACAGCATAAAAATGTGGTCAAAATCATTATAGATTCATAAGATTCCACATGGTTATGGAAAACATCAAATACATGCTCACAAAAAAGAGCAAAAACAAAATATTATTCTGATTTGGTCAACTGATTTGTCTGCAGTCTGAAGTGATCCTAAAGCCATTTGTGGAAATTTTATACTTAAAGTGATTTATTTTCCTCTTTTTTTCCCCTCCAGGTGAAAGTGCTCTGCAATGTGTTGTAATGTCAGAAACTGACATCAGACATCTTTGAATTAAAGCCATCGCTTCAAGTGTTGAGGAATTATACCAGGTGTTGCCAGCCAACTTTGGTCTGAGAGGAGGATTCATTTTGCAGTTTGAGGATCCTGATTTCAATAATCAGTTGTGCAACCTGACGGACAAAGACCTTCTTGTGGACCGTGCAACTTTGAAAGTATTGCTTACAGCTGATGACGCCTCTGATTCTACACTGGACACAGGCAGCCTCCCTTCCCTCAGTAGTGGGGATTCTGTTGAATGGCCTGACCCTTTCCCAATTCCAGAGTTCTCACATGATGTGGAGCTGCAACTGAGAGAGGGGAATGATAGATATGCCATGATGGATCTGTAATGGTCAGTTCTAAAGGTTTAAAGACTGATGTCCTTGACACGCTTGCAGACAATATGTCAACGATTAGGGCTTATCCTGAGAGACAGCACTATGAAAATGTAGCCAAAGCACGAGTGGAAAAGCATCCCTGTCTGCGTTAACCAGGGTATCAGAGGGGATGGTACTCATGGTTTCACAGTCTGAAGTTTAAGCTTTGAAACTACCGGCAAAAGTTAAGTGCAGCAGGATGCCCTGGAGTGATCATAAACAAACCAAAACCAGGAAGTTCAAAGGGAAAATGTGTCAAGAAGTCAAAGAAGGGTGAAGTTAACTACTGTCCTGATCCACCTGAAGGACGGAGTCCTGAAAACATTGAGAAGCGCAGGATAACTGAGGGTGAAATGCGAAAGAGAGACCCTGATCACTAGCTGCTAGCTAGTGGATCTGATGGTTGCTACATTTTCCCACCATAGAAAATAAATCATTGGAGATCAGCCACACACCACAGAGCTCATTTCCCGATGGCCAGCTTTGTTTCAAGATAAACAAGTAATCACCTGATGTATTAATTCCAAGAGAGATTATATACTGTTCTTTGTGGACTGTCCAATTGAAAAAAGTGTTTTTTTTATTTTCTGTAGATCTCCTCAGATTAGGGCAGCATTCAAGAGGATCGTCACCAAAGACCCTCTGAAATATATATATATATATGTTTGTTTTTTTGTTTTTTTGTTTTTTTTCCCCTTGTCGTGTTTGGCATTATAGCAACAGAATTGTAATCTGAGTGCCGTGCTGTGCCCAACACTTTTGCTTTGCCAAGGGAGGCCTGTCAGGGTGAGAACGCTCCCTTGATCATCCCATACTGCTTTATTATATATTTAGGATTTATTTTTGCTACATAAGTAATATGGCTAATGCCAACCATGACCGGGGGATAGGAAAGGGGAAAAAAGAAAGAGATTCCTAAAACAGGAAGAAAGGAGAAAAAAAAAAGGAAAGAGAGACAACAAAACCATCCATCCAGCTGCTGTATCTGTAGAAAGATGTCCTGTAGTCACCGTAGGTAAACTCGAGGGAGAACCTGCAAACAAACACTATGGGGAGACACACACAAACTAACAAACACTAACAGCAAAATAATACTGCAGACAAACCCGGGGGAGAACCTGTAGAAGCACCTGCAAGCAGACACAAGAAAGAGACACACACAAACAGGCAGAAAAAATTGAAGGCCGCCACCACACTGATAGTAATGACAGACAGGATATATTTCTAATTTTGTACGGCAACTGCGCAGAGGCTCAAAGGTGTGTGTCTGGGCAAATGAATTAATGTGTGTGTGGGTGGGTATAAGCGCTGACGTGCAGAACACACAACCCAGCTTTCACACAGATTGTGCTCAGCTAAGCATGCATAGGGGGAGCCACCACCGACCCTGCTCCAGCAATCTGAAGAAGGCAGAGAGGACCCCAGACCCGGTCCACCAGCGGCCCCCCGGAGCACCGAGACCAGGGAGACCCCCATGGAGACAACCGGGCCCCCCCCAGTCGGCCACAGAGAGAGCCCCCCAACCAAGCCCCCCACGGGGATAGGGCAGAGGCCCCCCAGGAGCCATGGCGTGCCCGCAGGATGGCGCAGCGGTGGGGG